TCCTCCCCCACGCCCCCGCCGGCCCCTCCGTTGGAAGGAGGCAGCGCCGCCGCCGCGCCGAGCGGAGTACGCGCGGGCAGCTCCGAGGCACTGGCTGGCTCCGAGGCGGTCGTTGTGGAGGCGCCCGCGGCGGACGCCGGCCACGCCCACCCGCCGTCTGTCCCAGCGGCGCAAGGCGAGGGCGGCGCGGAGGCGGAGGGGGCGGTCTCGCCCGGGGCGGCGTGCGGCGGAGCGAGCAGCAGCCTCGGGGCCGGGCCGGCGCCGCAAGGGGCAGCGGGCGGGTCGGCGGCGTCCCCCGCGGGCGCCTCGCTCGCGCGGCTCCCTCCGACGGAGATCCCTCCTCCGACGGAGATCCCTCCCGTGATCCCTCCCGTGGGGCCTCCGCCACCGGGGACGGCCAGCCCGCCCAGGCCCTCGACAAGCGCGATCGCCGACGCTGCGCCTTCGCCGGACGCGTCTCTCGAGCGCAGCCCTCCTGCAGTCTGCCCCGAGCCCGCCGCCGGCTCGATTGCGGTGGCGTCGGTCGCCGCCGCCGCCGTGGCGTCGGCTCGCGCTCTCGCGGCGCAGCAGCTGGCGCTCGCCGATGACGGCGCCGAGGGAGCCTCGCCTGAGGCCCGCGCGTCCGGCAGCGGCGGCGAGGAGGGGGCGGTTGCGGAGGCGGCGCCCGAGGGGATCGCGCGGTCGACCTCGGACGAGGGTGCGAGCCGCGCGCGCGACGAGGGGCGCCTGCCGATCCAGCGCTCCCTCTCGGCGCAGTCCGCTCTCAACCGCGCCGGGCGGAGGAGGCGGGCCCGCGCCGACGGGCAAGGCGCCTTCCCCGCGCTCGCGTCGACGCCGCTCGCGGCGCTCGACCTGTCCGGCCGCTTCTACAACAGGGACGTCAGCGGCGAGCGCGACGTCGCCTACGCGGCCGCCGCCCTCGACGTGGACGGCGGCGACGGCGGCGGCGCCCTGACCGGCGGCGTCAGCGGCGAGCTCTCCGAGCTGGGCGCTGCGCTCGAGGCGCTCGGCACTCCGATGGAGGGGCTGCCGATTGCCGCCGCCTCGCAGCTGCAGCGGCGCGTCACCGCGCAGGAGAGCGTCGCCGCGTCCCTTCGCCGGCGGTGCGACAAGGCGGAGGCGTCGCTCTCTGCGGAGCGCCGCCGCGCAGCCAAGCTCGAGGAGCAGCTCGCAGAGGCGCGCTCCGCGCTCGCCGCCGCCGCGGGCAGCCGCGAGGCGGCGGCGGGCGATGCCGCCTCCGCCGCCGCCGCCTCGGACGCGGAGGCGAGCGAGCAACTCTCAGACGGAGGCACGCCGGTGACCCTCGCCCTCACGGTGAGCGGCGGCGGCGTGGCGGAGGACCCCCCGACGGCGCAGCTGGCGTGCCGGCGGGTGCTCTCCTCCGAGCTCGAGGAGCTCGAGGCGTCGCACGAGGCGGTGTGGCAGGCGCACTGCACCCTCTC